TGGTGATGCTATTAAATGTTCACACATTGGTCTTAATTGTCCATATTGAAAACAAATATCACTTGATAAACCTGCTTCTAAACGTTGATCTAAAGCTTCAATAGATGATCCAATATGTTGATGAGAACTTATTAATAAACGTGAAAGAAATGGTGTTGATTGAGATGAATGTTCTGATGAACAATAACCATAACGTTGACAATATGTTCGTGAATTAATTTTATCTATTTGATTTAATGATTGTTGTTGTGCTGATTGAACAATTGAACGACAATCATCATCAGTACATAAAGAAAGAAGTGTTGTTGTTACTTCATTAACTGTTGTTCGAAAACGATATTGACGAGAATTAAGACGTTGTGTACAACATTGACATTTATCACCATCTATTTTACACTAAAATAGAAAAGAAATTCATAAAATTTTATTTTTACAATTCAATTTAATATTTACTTCTTGATTCTTTATTTGTTCTTCAATTGGACAAAAACCAATTCGTTTACAATAATTTGTTGGTATAAATTGATCAACTTTTTCTTTCATTCGATCACATACACGATTAAACCATGATATACAATAATCTTTTGATAAACTCCAATCACAAGTAGCTAAAAGTCCACTTCGTAATGTTTCCTAAAAGAGAAAAGAAAAAAAAAAGAGAACAATTAATTTCTAATTCATTTTTCTTGTTATTAAAAAAGAAACAAAACATACAATCATTTGTAAATCATAATTCTTTTTTGTTGTATAAAATTGTACACAACAATCACATTTATCTTTACAATTATTTAATTTAAATGATTGTTTACAATCTAATGATTGATGTTCATAATTAAGTTCACATAATTCTTTTTCTACATGTCCATTTTGATTAAACATTGATTTAAATAAAGCTTCCATACGTAAACTATTTTCATTTGATTCAACAAGTTGTTTACATAATTTTTCAAATGGACTATTTTTTATACAAATTAAATCAATTAATGATTGATCTGATGTACAAATTTTTTCACTATTTAATTGTGAAACTTTTTCATTAACATCTAAGGTTGAACGATCAATAATATGATAACAATCTTTATTCCACTAAAAATACAAAAGAAAAAGAAAAAAAAATAATTCATTTTTAAGAAGATTTTATTTAAATGAATTTTTACTGGAATATATTCACAAAGTGATTTAAGATTTTGATTTATTGTAGATATTGAAGAAAGAAGAAATTGTTTTTTAGATTCAATTCGTGTTTGACATTCAGATAAACTTTCAACCTATTGAATTTATATAAATAATAATTTATAATATAATAATAACAACAACAACAACAAAAAAAAAGCAACAGTAACTTACTTCAACAGGAAGTGTTGAACAATGACTTAAAATTTGACAAACTCGTTTAGCATTCTATGGAAAAATAATAATAAATTGGTTATGTTAAAATCTTACTGATTTCTCTCTTTCAATGTTTTATTTAGGATAACAAATGTGAAAAATCTTACATCATATAAGTGAACCAAGAGGCCTCGACTTACAAGAAATGAACAGTAAATTTTATAACATAGATGTTCAAATTAGTGGTGTAACAAGAAATAAGCTGTTGAATGAAAGTTCAACCCTCTGATCATGTCTATAGAAGAAGCTCCAGCTCGTTTTTAAGCAGAACTCCATTGTTTGTAGGGTAAGCTTAGAACCCTCATAAAAAAAAATCGACTTTCGTCAAAAACATGAAAGTTGAGATAAATGTGTGAGAAGAGAGCCCGAGATCTGATCTTTCATAAATGAAATGAGTTTTTATTTAACATCTGCTTTTTTCCAAAAGATTTCCGTCATTTTCTGTTTGAAGTGTATGTGATTTTTCAGAGAAAACGGAAAATCTTTTTAGTTTTTTTTTTGTTTATGATTTTTTTGATAGCATATCTCAGAATTCTCGAAGAAGTTTTATTGTAGTGAATGGGCTGTTATTTTTGTTCGAAAGAGCATGTAAAGATGTAGAATATAATGGAGTCTTTTTTTTAAAAGTTTTTCGAAACATTGAACTTTTCTTCTCTTAAAAAATAAGAATTTAGAAAAAGGAACTTTGTCATGCCCCGCATTCTTACATGTTCTTCCAAGCAAAAGAAAAATTAGATATATAAAATGAAGGCCCATAGAAAATTCTAGGTTGCCAAATGAGTTATTTTTTTACCCTTGTTTGTTAAATATCTCCCTTGAACACTATGGTATAGGACTGAAAATTTCATGTGATTTGAAGGTATGTGGTTCACAATCAATATTTAAGGGTAGAATCTTAAAAGCTTTCTACAGTGAGCTAAGTGTCCTCTATCCTCCATCCGGATACATCGCTAGTTTAAATCTGATACTAAAAGTTAACGAGAAATCCATTTTTTGTAATTCAAATGTCACATATTTCGTACGCTAAAGTTCTTTAAATGTAGTCTAAGATCAAGATCTTGCTTTTTTTTTCTATATTCCAAAAGAGACTATTCGAAATTCACAAACATTATTAATCTTTACTTACAAAACGTGAAGTAATTTGATTGACATTTGTATCAAATTTTGTAGTCATTTCAAGACACTAAAAAAAAAAACAAACCCACAAAATTCCTTCGTATTATCATTCTTAACGATCATACTTTATCAGATCCCGGCATACGTTGACATAAAGTTTTTATATTCTCAACTATTGATCGCTATAAAAATAAAATAAAATATTTATTTTCATCAAAAATAAATTATTCAATTTTTACCAAAAATGTAGTAATTTGTACTTCATGAATTTCAATTTCATTCATACAACATTCACATTTATCATTACACTAAACAAAATAATTTATCAAAAACAAAAAAAAAAAATAACTTTTTCTATTATACATTTTCATATGCAGAACTTCCCGAACAAATACCCATAATAGTACATGCTTGTTTTGGATCAATATCTTTCGATATCATAGTCAAAATAGCTGGACCTTCAGTTTCGATTGCTCTATTACACTATAATAAAAATGTTCAATAATTTATTAATTATTTATTATTAAGAAAAACAAAAAGTTCATACCAATTCTGAAAATGTTCCAAGTTTAGAGCAAATTTCAACTTTAATATATTGAATAATTTCTTGCTAAAATGTAAAAGAAAAAAAAAAGATTGATATAATTTATATCAATGAAACTTATCAAAAGTCAAAATAAGTTTTTTTTTTCTAATTAATAAATATTGCCTATATATTAAAATCTACCTCTGTTGTATTTGTTGTAAGAGCTTTTTTTATACTACCAAATGCCAATTTGCATAAAGTACAATTGAGTGTATCTCTCGTTAAAGATGATATTAACTAACAACAAAATGAAAATTAAACAAATCTCAAACTATACTTACACTTATTACATCATCTGTTGAACTAATTTGAATTGGTTCGATTGTTGCTAACATTGTTGAATTACAATAATCTAATTTTATACAAATATCTTGTGGATCCTTAAAGATAAAACAAAAAATATTCAGTTAATCGTTCATTAACAAATATATATATATACCAATGTTCGAATGAAATCTACGAGTTCATTTATTGATTCATCAACTGTTTTGAGACACTTAATTAAAAAAGAAAATGACTTCGAAAAAAATAAAATAAACATTTCAAAAATACGTACATCATCTTTGTCAGGTAATTGCCCACAAAGATGATGAAGAAATTCAGATGAATGATTCTAAAACAAAAAAGAAAACAATTTAATAAAATACAAAAAAAAATAATATTTAAATAATTTACCACAAGTTTTTCAGCAATATGTTTTCGTCGTGTAAAATCATCAATACATCGTTGACATTTATTTTTATCCTAAAATATATGTATACATTTTAATTCAAAATTAATTCAAAATTTTACATCATTAATAGCTAAATTATCAAGAAATGACATTTTCTTTGGACACATTCCAAATATACGGCAAAGAACATCGCCTTCCTATAAAGAAAAATATACATATAAAATAATGGAAAAATGTTTAACGGCAACGTATACTTAATACTGTTTTATAATGTTATTCATCTAGCTCAAATCCAGATAGTGATTTTAATAGCGAATAGAGTTTTTTTTTTTCTAATATATTTCATAGATGAATTATGATAGCAACAATGTCATTTTAAAGAGAACAAAATGAAAGATCGTTGCATTTTCTACCATCTTTACTTAAGAAGTATCACGAAAAATGAAATTTATCAAAAAATCGATTAGAAAATACTTCTTTTTTTTCGATTTTTATGATGCTTTTAACTTTTTAAACTTCTTCTCCGATCCGACATCGAATGCTCATATATATTAATCTATTATTTAAAAAAAAAACATACCATATCATTAGCAAGTGTACGCATAAGACCATTAGCATCTTTTTCGACAAATGCATTACACTAGAACAATATATAAGATAAATAATATTGATTCTATGAAAAATTCTTACAGCATCTTTAAATAATCCAAGATTTTTACAAATATTTTCTTTAAGAAATGAATTCATTTCATTCTAAAAATAATATTTTATTTTAAATAATTATCAATTTTTATTTTTACTTTTTCTATTGAACTTGA